AAATGGAGTTAAGTGTTTTAAGAATTGGCACTGGTTGGGATGTGCTGAAATTACACTTTTATGATACCTGTAAATTAAACTTCCATGTTATACTTTCTTGATCAACCACTAACAGAATGATAGCCCCCCAAAAAGCCTTCTACATAGTCAATAGATGAGATAAATGTATATCAATAAAACGAAAGAAGAGAGGAGATAGTACAAAAAGCAATGAGCAAACAGAACAAATAAAAAACAGATAATGTGGTAGACTTCAATCCAACCATATTATTTATTGCACTAAATGTAAATAGACTAAGTACAGATTTAAGACAGACATGGTTGGATTAAACAAAAAGCTAAGATGCCACCAGGTATTTATAGGAGGCACATTTAAAATACAAGGACATAGAGCAAATAATAGTTTAAAATGGAGAAAAATGGACACAGAATATGAAAATGAATCAAAACAGCATATTACAATAATAGTAATTAAGAAAAAAATAGACAACATGGCAAGAAACATAAAATGAGGTGAAGAGAAACACAGCTTGACAACAGAAAGGTCAATGCATTAGGAAGCAGCAGCAAACCTAAAGAAAGGGATGGTTTTCATGACCTCATTTCAAAATAGATGAAGGAAAAATTGACTAAAAGAATTGAGAAATCCGAAATCATACCTGGATATGGTAACACATTTTTTCAGTAATGATAGAACAAACATTAAAAATCAATATAGAAATGGAAAAGGTGAACATTATTGATCAAGTTGGCCTAGCTGACATTTATAGAATTCCAAACCTATATATTACTCATGTAGCTTTTACCAGAATAGACCATACATTAGGTCATAAAACAAGTTTTCATATATTCCAATGGATTATAATCATACAGATTATGTTTCCTTGCCACAGTTGAATCGAATTAGAAACAACATCAAAAAGATAACTAAAAATCCCCAAATGTATGGAAGTTAAGAAGCACACTTTTTATATTTTATTTTTGAGACAAGGTCTCACTCTGTCGCCCAGGCTGCAGTACAGTGGCACAATCATAGCACACTGCAGCCTCAACCTCCCAGGTTCAAGCACTACTCCCACCCCAGCCCTCTCAAGTAGCTGGGACTACAGGAGAAAATTTTCTCCTTTTTTGGAGAGATAGGATCTGACTATTTTTCCCAGACCGGTCTTGAACACTTGGACTCAGACAGTCCTCCTGTCTAAGCCTTCCAAAGTCCTAGGACTATGGTGTGAGCCACCACGCTTAGACAGCACACTTTTAAACAACTCCCAAGTCGTGGACAAACTCACATTTGAAATTGGAATGATAATGAAAATGAAACATAAAGTGTGTGAAGATAAAGCATGAATGGGAAGGAAATTTATAGCACTGAAGGCATAGTTTAGAAACTAAGAAATATAAAACACTTGATCTGAAATTCCAACAGAAGATAGAAGAGTTGGAAACAATGAAATAGTAAACAAATATAAGATGAGAAAATCAACGGTACCAGAAGTTGGTTCTTCAAAATAACTAGTAAATCTTTAAGACGCTAGTCGAGACAAAAAAAAAAAAAAAAAAAGGGAGCGGCGCTTCCACTCAGGCTCCTGCACCAGAGCCTGAGCTCCCAGTTGCTTGTACTCACCAGGAGTGGGACACCCAGACAGAACACCAGACCCTCTGGCTTCCCAAGATGGAACCCAGTACTTGACTCCAAGCATCACACATACCTTTGTATGAAACTGGAAGTGGTGACTACCTGCTCATCTCCCTACCCACAACCTCCCCTACCCAAAATCTGCCCAATCCTGCTTCCCAAGCTTGAATTATCTTCAAGGAGTCTTCACTCAGCCTAAGAAATCAGTCATAAAATTGAAATATGTTGGTAGAGGCAGTTCCTCATCTTTCCATCACATTAAGATGCAAATGACCGACATCAAATGCTCTCCTGACAGCCGGTTTTGCTGGGGCACACTCTCGGCTGTGTGAGAGAAGGAAAACACAGAAAGGGAAGCGGAGGTCTTAAACAGAGGTTTTCAACATTTAATCCTGCTCTCATTGTTCAGAAATTCTTTGGGCTGTGAGAGCAGTGCTGGGAGAACGAGGAGTCCACTGATTACATGCTCTTCCCTCTGTCAAGTGCTCTGCTTAGGCTCTAAATTTTATGGCTTCCTTTTCAATCTTGCTATCCTTTGCCTTCCAGAGAGGTCACTTGTGAATGACCAGATCTAATGTGTACAACCTGACCTGTTTTCCCCTTGGATAGCATCTTCCTCCCTCACTATTTTCTTTCTTCCTCTGGGATATCACTTGTTTGGGGGATTTATGATAGAAATTTTTACTTTGTTTATACAGAGGATGCCACGACTTCTCAGGAAGTGAGTTAGGCCCCTGTCATTCCTGTTCTAACAGTGTATGGATGGAAATAAATGACGGAATGTGACTTCCCCACCTGCTGTCCCAAGCAAGGAAGAGGTCTCTGTGGTATTCTCTAAGCTGAGCCTGTGGTTGCACTTCTCAAGTGCAGGAAAGGCCAGTGAAACAGACACCACCTTTCTGCAAGTTTTTTTCTGAAAGCGGTGGTTTCATATCTGATTGCATAAAGTGGAAGAAATCAGCCTCTGCCAGGGCTGGCACTGGAAGCATCAGTTCCCCAGCTCTTCATGTGTTTTCTTCTTCCACTTTGCACCATTCTCTCTCCTTCTGGAGCATTTCTTCCTCTTTCTTTTCACATACACATTGCCCTACCTTCTCTTGTCAAATCATGCTCACAGAATATGACCTTAAACATGCTCTTGGTACATTATAAATCACTGGAAAGAGCTTTGGCTTTCCCCTCTCCCAGGGTATTAACACTTTAACAATGATCAAAGGCTTAAAGTAATAGAATTAATTTCTCATTGGGGGATCTAACACAGCAATATAGGAGAATATTAAAGGAAGTTACCAGCAGGCCTCCCAATATCCTTGAAATAATACACTTAGAAGGTGACTTGAAAAGGGAGAATTGAAGTTTTGGATGATTCTTCATTATGCCCTGTTTCTGCTGTGATGTTTCTGACATAGAACCACTTGTATCCCTCCCTCTTCTAAAGAATTCATCTAATCCAATCTCCAAGATACCATCTAAGGCCCTACTGGAACATTCCAGATTTGTGTTCAATCAACAGATCAAAAATCAGATAATTCACTATCTTCCTAGGCAAGCCAACTCATTGACAGACATTCCCAAATATTAGTAAGTTTCCTGTTCCATTTACTCACTGGTCTTTAACTCATTCCTAAAGCCTTGTGGGTTACATCTACCCTCTCTTGCATATGATAGTCTTGCAAAGAGCTGAAAACAACAGGCACATCATCAATGTCTGCTTTATTCTTCTACAAATTGGGACTTATTCTGGCAGAGTGAATTGAGCAAAAAATCCACATGGGGGATATACCCCTGTGGATGTGATGGCTTTAAAATGTGGCCATAAATTAGATATATTGTTATACATTTTTATCCTGAGATAGTGATATGGTTTTTCTCCGTGTACAAATCTCATGCTGAATTATCATCTTCAGTGTTGGAGGAGGGGCCTGGTGGGAGGTGAATGGATCATGGGGGCAGATTTCTCCCTTGCTGTTCTCCTGATAGTGAGTGAGCTCTCACGAAATCCAGCTGTTTAAAGTGTGTAGCACTTCCCTCTTCTCTCTCTGTCTCTCTCCGGCTCTCTCATAATAAGTGCTTGCTTCCCCTTTACCTGCTGCCGTGATCGTAAGTTTCCTGAGGCCTCTCAGTCATGCTTCCTGTACAGTCTGCAGAACCATGAATCAAATCCCTTTTCTCCATAAATTACCTGGTCTTAGGTAGCTCTTTATAGCATTGTGAGAATGGACTAATAGAGTCTACTGTTTTCCCCCTTTGAATCTGAATGGCTTGCTACTGCTTTGGCCAACAGAATATGGTGAAGGGAAGCCATGTACCTGTCACCTGGTTTGCTAGAACACTTGCTCTTGGAACTGCAAGCTGACAGGGAAATCCAACTATCCTGAGCTGCCACGCTGTGAGGAAGCCCAAGCACAGAAAGAGGCTCCAGTAAGCAGTACCAGCTGATTCCAGTCTTCAGATCATCCCAGCCGAGGCACTAGACAGGTGAGTAAAGAAATCCCCAGATGATTCCAGCTGTCAGATATCTGAGTCACTTCTAACCATACCAGTTCTACAAAATGAAACTCCAGATATTATAAAGACAGATCATCCCTGCTGTGCCTTGGCCAAATTCCTGAGTCACAGAATCCATGAATGTAACAAAATGATTGTCATTATACACCATTAAGTTTGAGGTTGGTTTATTATACAGCAAGAGATAACTGGAGCAGAGATCAACCACTAAATTACTTTGGCCATGACCACTTCCACCTAAGAGTAACATTTATACTAAATTCCCTTACGTCTTAAACTTGGTTATTAACTTTATTAATCTTTCATTTAAATGACAACTTCCTCCAGAGTACCAAGGAAAGGCAGAGATGTCATAAACTGCAGGAAGTAATCACAGAAACAGATAATGCATAAAAAACAGTGCCAAGAGAATTCAAGTCTCTAAATGTTGTGTCTTATACCTTGCTGCTTTATGTTACACTCCTGATGAAAGTCTTCATTTGAGCTCATTTATTCAGATCATTAAGACTTCTGAATCCTTAATACATCATCCAGTATTAATTATGCCACCTTTTTTTTTTTGAGACAGAGTCTTGCTCTGTTGCCCAGACTGGAGTGCAGTGGCACAATCTCTGCTCACTGCAACCTCTGCCTCCCGAGTTCAAGTGATTTTCCTGCCCCAGCCTCCTTAGTAGCTGGGATTACAGGCACATGCCACCATGCCCAGCTAATTATTGTATTTTTAGTAGACATTGGGCTTCACTGTGTTGGTCAGGCTGGTCTCAAATGTCTGAACTCGTGGTTTGCCTGCCTCAGCCTCCCAGAATGCTGGGATTTCAGGTGTGAGCCACCATACCCAGCCTTTTAAAAAAACTTCTAGTTGCATTTATTTTAATGCTTAATTTACTCCCGTGCCATAAGTTTTTGTTTCTTCAGTTTCTGCTGGGATATCTTTTTCTTCTGGGCAACCTCTTCTTCTGGTTTAGGAACAATCTGTTCCTTTTCAGGAAGGATCATCTCAGTGTGGCAGGGAAAGCTCATGTATGGGTTAATCCGACCATGAGCTCTGTAGGTCCAGCGGCGCATCCTGGGTGCTTTGTTCACTTGGATATGTTCAATGACCAGAGAATCTACATCTAAACCCTTAAACTCAGTGTCACTCTCTGCATTTTTAAGCACGTGCAGCAAAAATTCAGCACTCTTTTTGGGCCACCGACCTTGTGTCCAGCCTCACTGCCTAGCCTGGGCACACCTGCCAAAACCACCATTGTAACATCAGAATGGTGCACACTGTTTCTGTAAAGTGACGTCTTTCAGATACTTAGTGGCTTTTCATATATGCACACCCTTGATGGCCTGGGCAGTTTCACAAGTGTTCTTAAAGTGAACACACAGATTTTAACCTCTTGCTTTGCATAATTTTGTGGAGTTCTCAGGTTCAAGTGAATAGCAAACCATTTTCACAGATGACCACAGGCAGCTTAGAGAAAGAGCTAATTACAGCATCTTTAGTTCTGCATCTTCAGACAGAGAGAAACCAACTTGGGTGCAAAACCTGGGTACGTCCTTTAGTCTTCTGTGCTCTCAAATACAAGTGATGATAATATCTGCCTTGCACGAGTGTGGTAAGGATGACAAATCAAGTAAGAAAACTGCACCAGGTGCTGTTCTCTGCAAGTTTGATCAACAAACCCCCAACCAACGTTCAGTCTTCTTCCGAGTTGTTGAAAGCAGCACTGGATGGGTCAGGGCACAGGATAGGCCCACTACCGGTGACCACTCATGAGCCAGTTACCAACTCATGAAATTCAATAACTGAACCACTTCAAATATAAGCTACACAGAAGCAGCGATCTTAGTCTGTTTTGTTTACTGATATCCCACGTACTCAGAAGAGTACTTGGCACCCAGTAGGTACTCCATAAAGATTTGTTAAATAAATGGGTGTAATTCTGTGAGTGACTCTGTCCTCTCCCACATGTTCTGGAGCCCTCATCATCTACCTGGGAAATCCACGCTGTCCATGCCATGCTGTCTTCTAGCCCAAGGCTGGTCCTGCTTCTCTTGGGCTCTCAGCTCACGGAGGTACAGAGTACACGGTCACCCACAGAGTGCAGGAAACTGACAACTCCCTCTACTCTACCCATTTCCCACTCCTAATTGCCAAGATGTTTAAACTATAACATGAATAGCCACATTAAGGCAATTTGTTATATGTAAAGCAGGGGCATAGCACATTGATAATTAAGGCCTCCCTCTGTGACAACCTACATGCTGGAGGTGTAATTACTTGTAAGTACCCCTGCATTTGCTAGCCCTTATTACTGAGTTAAACATGCATTCAGCTAGTTATTAGTGAAATTCTATAGTGTCCTAAGGAACTGTTGTTTTAACAAATGGAGTAGGAGTTTTCCAGCCTGTATTATGTATGCTTTCTCCGCTGATCTGGGGCAGTGATTCCATGGTATAATTTTTTTGGTGTCTGTGTATCCTTCGTTTTCATTAGGGAAAAACTCAAATCTTAGAGGCTCTTGGGACTGGAAGAACAGCCTCTTGGCACTCTTTTCTGGTTCACACTGGCCACAGAAGAGATTTTTCCTTGTTTTAAGATTTGCTACTTGGAGTGTCTCTACTCCATGCAAAATAAGAAAAACCCCCAGATTCCAGTTTTATTCACATTTGGTTCCTGGGAAGTAAGAACTTACAATCAAGCCAACAGCATGCATTTATTATGGCCTTGCTTTCCATCGCCCTGAGCTAAAGCTATATTGAAATAGTATGTTTCTGAGTTGAACTAGCATTATATACAAGCTTATTTAAATGTTTAGATCTCCATTTTACTCAAACAAAACAGAAAAGCAAAGATGGGGGTAGAATTGGGGTGTTTAATCCCTTCATGCCTTACCCTGGCCTCTGTTGGTGTGTAAAAGAGTGAGTCCCAGAAAGGAGTAGAGACCCCTCCCCCATCCTCTTCTGAAACTGGCTTTATTTGCTTTTTCTTCCCAGATGCTAAAGCAGCAGCTCCAGTGTATCCCTGTAGAAGGGACTTCACAGTGGCTATCAGGAGGCCGAAGTGCTCAGAAGCTGCTGTTGCACAGCTAGCACATGGGGTGTACTTGAGTCATTTGTTTCGGGTAAATTGGGGCAGAGAAGCAAAAGAGAATATGAAAGAATTAAAGGGGCTAAGACCACCTCTTAGAACAGCTACCTGAGATATCCTGCTGGCTGAGGGATAATGGGTCAAGTCACCCATCCTCAGGGACATCTATTCTCAGTGTGCTGCACTCAGTAGGGATCAGTCTGCATTTGGGAAGGAACAGCAGCTTCTATGAGTAAACAGGTCCCATTTCTCCTGTCCACCATGCAGCAGTTTCAGAACGTGCGTGCAGTTGACCTCTGTGCTTCCCAAAACTCTGTTGCTTTGAGAGCGGTCAGGGAGAAAAGGTGACTTTAGATACAATATACCATGTTATTGGCTGAGTTCAACAGACACTGGAGCAGAGAAATATCTTAGATTCTGGAACCGAAAGATGAAAAAGATGCACAGAGGAACTCATGGCCTCCAGCAAATGCCCATCAGAAATTTTTTCAGTGCTGAATCCCAAGTCCAATGTTTTTGTCAAATAACTGGATATTGCTGAATATTGTACATGTTTAGCTGAACCTCCAGGAGGCCGAGAAGTCCTCTAATGACTGCCTCATGGAAATCAGAGTAGTGGCCTGGAAAGATGAAGTTGAGGGCTACTTGCTGGCCCCAGGATTGGTCTCCTCCCACCAGCTCACCTTACATCATCCCTCTCTAAGGCCATTTTCCAAACTCTTAATTCCTTTAAATGTTTCCGCTGTACTCCACCTCTGTAAGAAGCCCTCTTTAATCACTGTACTTGCTATGCCTCTGGCCTTCCCTATATTTGTATCTTTTCTTCCTAGAGACAAATTATGCAGTGATTCCAAGCAGAATTTTGATGAGAGTGAATTATGTGCTAAGAAATTAATCACTTGCAAAGAGTGGGGTTGAAAGGATGCCTTAATATATGGCAGGCTCTATACTAGGAACTTTATACAAATCATTCCCTTTGAGCCTCCCAACAATTCTGCATAATAACTAGTACCTTATATACATATCAGAAAACTGAGGGTCCTAAAAATAACTTTTCTCATATGGAACAGATAACAAAAGTTTGTTGCGTGTCTTACATGTGCCAGGCAAACTCCTCAAAGAAGACGAATATAGACTCAGTCCTCCAAAGTGTAGGGACTATCAGGGATACAGGCAAGTAAACAAAATAGTCCATTCTACAGGAAATAAAAGTGTGTGGTCGGGAGAGAGCTCTATGGTAAGATGACATGTGAAGGAGCCTCTAATTCATTAGAGAAAGGGATCCCTAAACTGAGAAAGAGGGCAGGAGTTTCAGGGACACCAAGGAGAAAGAGTGGAAAAGTCAAAAGAGGAAAGGGGAAAGAAAAGAAAGAACTTTCCAGACAAAAGAAGCCTTATGTGCAAAGATCTGCAGGCTTGAAGGCAATGAAAGGACAATGTGGCTTAGCTATACCTACTTCCAGAAAAGTCCAAAATTAGCTCACAAGGATACAAAAGCTGGGACAAGAAGGCACAAATCAAAGAGAGGAACTTAAGAAAAAATCAAAACAGGAATGGAGGTTTCAAATGGAGCCAGGAATGAGACTTCAAAACTGCATACCATCCTGGTATGTATGCTTGTTAGCAGAGAGCCACCAATTTGACTCTGAGCTTTCCAGAAATCACTCCTGGAAGGAAAAGGTAGTTTCTCCAGATGAGACTTTCTTAGGAAAATGGCAACCGTTGGTCCAGTGAGGCCTACAGGATTTCTAGAAATCACTCCTGGAAGGAAAAGGTAGTTTCTCCAGATGAGACTTTCTTAGGAAAATGGCAACCATTGGTCCAGTGAGGCCTACAGGACCTTACTAAGCAGTCAGGGATACTCTCCACCAGAAAAGCATCCTGACAACATCCACACAATGGGTCCTGGGCATCACCCCAAAGCAACTTTCATAACAACAGTTGGACCAGGGGCCATGCAACATTACCCAGGGGTCCCACTCTGGAGCCACAAGAGTCAATCCCAGGGAAGACCTTAAACAGCAAAAGAACAGAAGAATAATTTATCATTCAAATAAGTGTCCCTAGGATAGCCTCTTGCTGCCAAGTTTAGAGCATATTAGTTAGAAGTAAGTTACAAACTGCATTTCCTTACAAATACTTGGAATTCAGCTCTTTTATGCTGCCAGTTCACTGTAGACCTTAACATACTATCAAGCTGAAGGTAGAGTATGCTTCAGTGAAAAAGCATCTTCTACCTCTTATCTCTCCTCTCTTTCTTCAAGACCTACCCCAATGCCATCCTCTCTATAGAAGCTTTGTAGTTTTCTAAAACCAGAATTACTTCTCCATGCTTCAATCTCTCAGCATGTGTGACCCTTTTTAATGCAAATAGTACATTCAGTTTGGTGCTGTGTATCTGCAGATCTTACCTCCCCTAACGTGCCCATCACAATGCCATCTTCAAAACCAAACTCAGTAAAACCTGATCCAATTAAAGCAATACCCTCCAAATACTGACAATAAAAACTCCTCATTCTTCAAATCACTACCGTTTTTTTTTTTCTCTTGGACAGAGTCTCACTGTCATCCAGGCTGGAGTTCAGGGTGCAGTCACAGCTACTGCAACATCAAATTCCTGGGCTCAAGTAATCCTCCTGCCTCAGCCTCCCGAAGTGCTGGGATGACAGGCATGAGCCACTGCACCCAGTCAATCATTACCCTTTTAGCAAGCATGTGGATGCATGCATTCATTCATTCAGAAGTGCATTCAGTGGTCTGTGATTTTTTTGTGTGCAATGGTTTGCCTGGTATGTTGAGCTTCCTTAGTCTGCGTGAGACCTTTTGTGACCTACCCATCTACAATGGGAGGTCATGGGTAAGGGTCATATCCTTTGAGGAAATGTAAGAGCAGATGGGATGAGGAACTAGAAACAAAATGTAATGCAGGAAACAGCCTTGACCTCTGACCCTGACACACAGACTGAGTGGATTAGAGATCCTTATAGGCAACTGGGCCTGATGTTGTCATAAAATACAAAGGCTAGTATTCATTGGACCCTTGATAAGTCATAGGAACTGTGCTAGGCTTCTTAAAACATTTTAGTAGTCATGAATTATATCATTCAACCATGACAATAACTTATGCATTATTATGAGAGTTTATAGATACAGGGCATTAAGTAGTTAGTAAAATACTAGAGGTATCACTGTTAGTAATTTGCAGAACAAGAATTTGACCTCAAATGCATTTGACTTCAAAGCCCAGTTGGGAGACCTAAGATATGTCACTTAACTCCTTAGTCACATAAGCCTCAATTTCATCATCCAAAAAGAGAGGCAAAAAATAGTATTTAAAGGATTCTTTTGAAGACAAAAT